GTCCGAGTTCACCTGTCGGTCCACTGAGATGCCCACGGGGTACAGCCTGTGGACGGGGCAGCAGCAGGGTCTTCAGTGGGGCACGGCCGCCCAGGGCAGGCTCCCGCCCTCACCCGTCCCTTTGGGACTGGGACCTGCGACCATGCACCACCTGAGCTCAGCCCCAGCGACCTGCAGTGAGGCCCGGAGGACAAGGAACCCCTCTCCTTGGGGGGGGGTGGGCAGGGTGCATCCTTGGGCAGAGCTCCCACAGCCCCAGGACGTGTGCTTGAGCCCAGGCAGTGGTGCAGGTGGCGGGGGCCCAGGAGCGCACCCACCTCAGGGTCTCCTTGAGCGCCGCCCGCAGCAGGGGCAGCTCGGCCACGGCTCTCTGAGGGTTCTCAGAGATGGTGGCCTCGGCCTGCAGGCTCTCCTGACGCAGGGCCTGCTGCACCCCGGGGTTGCGTGCCAGCTCGAAGAGGGTCATCAGCAAGGGGTAGGCTGTCTGCGGGAGCGGGGGGTGGGCTCAGACCTCCCCCAGGCCGTGCGCCTCAGCCCCCGGCCCCGCCCTGGGCAGGTGTCTCAGACCCAGGGCTGTGCCTGCTGAGCGCAGGATGGAGCCCAGGGAGCTAAGACTGCAGGACCCTAAACCCATCTCCTCTCCTTTCCCGGAGCCCCAGCCCCAGGGAGACCCGGCCCTGCCACCTCCAGCCGGTTCCCACCCTCCTCTGGCTCCAGCAGGGGCTCCCCTTTGCCCCTGGAGCCCCAGGTCCATCTGCCCCCCGGGCAGCTGCAGCCAACTCCCCTGCCCCCCGGGCCATTCCCATGTGCAGGGAGAGGCACCCCCAGCCCAGCCTGAGATCTGGGGGACGGATGCTCTCCTAAATCTCATCCCCATGGCAAGGCACCCTGCATCTCCGGACACAGGGCAGTGACCTGCCTGCTGCCCCTTGTCCATGCTGCGCCCTGTGGTCAGTGGGGGCCCTTCTCCGTTACTGGGAGGACCCCTGCTCCAAGCAGCCTGCAGGGCAATGAGGCCTGGCACTGAGGCCCTGCCTTGCAGGAGTCCTGACCTCTCTGCCCTTATCTGCCCCCCACTTGGCCTCACTGCCTCCCCTTGCTGCCTGCTGCCACCGCCGCCCTGGACTGCTGCCCTCCGTGCGCCCGCAGGCCTGGCTAACTCCTGTGTGGTTGTTCCACATTCAGCACAAGTCCTCACCCCCAGGAGGCTGGCCTAGAGCCGCCCGAGGCACATTCTCCCCCCTCCCTCACTCGCCACTTGAGAGCATCTTGGCTTCTCAGCATCTCGGGTGCCAGGCCCAGAGCAGCCTGGGAGGCTGGGGGGAGGTTGGGTCTGGAGGCAGGAGGTGTTGGCTGCGTGCCACGCTCTGGGCCCGCCCTGCCTGCCATGCGAGATTGCCATCTGCTCTCTCCGCCACAAACGGGAGCCTGTGCTGCCCTTCCTGCCACCAGCTGTCGCCTCCCGGGGTCTTTGAGGAGAGCCAATGCCATCTGTCCCCGGCAGGGCCTTGTGCGACCGCCTGTGGGCTGTGCCCCTCTCCTCGGGCCCCGATAGTCTGAACGCCCCCCCCCAGTGACTCAGCCCCGCCTGTGAGGACGCTCCGTGTGCCCCCCTCCGGGCTCCTCATTCCCACGCGGAGCCAGGACCGAGGCCGCAGCGGCATAGCCTGGGGGCCCCCTGTGTTGCGGGCCGGGCGGGGCTGGCCTGACCGTGTCCACGCTGCCGGCCGTGAGGTCGATGGAGCTGGCCCTGATGGCGTCCAGCGTCATGTCCGCGTGCAGGAGCAGCTCCGCCACCACGCCGCTGTAGTGCTGAGGGCAGCCGAGTGCCAGCTCCTGGTAGATTTTCTGGATGGAGCTGTTGGCTGTGGGCACAGAAGAGCCCTCCTGTCATCAGCCGTCAGCCCTCAGCCCCGGCTCTCGGCCACGGCTCTCGGCCCGGGGCCCTCTGTGGGCCTTGGTTCCCTACTCCCCACTGAGGACCCGAGCGGGGACTCAGAGGAGCCCCTTCCTGGGGCTGAACCTGAGCCCCACCACCCTCTACCCTTCTGAGTTTTAGAGGGTACCCATATAATAAAAGACAGGTTAATAAGAGAAAAACAAACGGAAAATGAGTGGCTCTCTAAGAGGCATAGAACTCCCCACTTAAAACCATCTTTAGCCAAAGACAAAGGAAAGAAAAGTGGGAAGCGCTGCTCACCGTACTGGAAGATGCAGTCCCAGGCCTCGAAGTGCTCCTGCCACACCTTGGCGCTCGTCCAGCGGGACAGGCTCTGGGGCATGAACATGAGCCGCATGGTGGACTCCAGCATGGCCTGCAGCGCGTGGATGAAATCCAGGCTGGCCCGGCTTGGGCTCTGGCTGAGGAGGCCCAGCCGCTCTCCGAAAAGGACCAAGTTGGGTGTAGTAGAAGATGCTGGGCTGGATGTCCAGGGTCAGGCTCCCCCGCGCGTTCTGCTGCACCTTCGCCATCAGGGCCCCGCAGAAGTCCCTCGCCACCCTGTCCACCATGGGGATGAACTTCTGGACGGCCTGCGGCGACATCACGTCGGGGTTCAGCCGCAGGCGGTCCGAGCGCCAGGCCGGCCCGTTTCTGTGGAGCAGAAGCGTGCTTCAGGCCCCCGAGTCAGCAGCAGGCCCAGCTCTGCCCCCTCTTTCTCATCTCCAAGGGGCACGGTGGGCAGGGGCCGCTGCTGGTTTGCGGGGGTCCCAGTGGGCGATGCCGGGTGTGCGATCCCTCGGCGGGGCTGCGACCAGGCTTCTGGCTAAACGTGCTGCAGGGCTCACTGAGTTTGCTTTGGCCGACCGGCTGGCCAGGGGCCTGGCACTCCTGTCCCCATCCAGGCCCTCGGTGCCATGGAGGCCACTCTCGGGGGCGGAGACTGGCCCTCGGGTCCAGCAGTGCCCACCCTGCCCACCACGCCCTGACGATGCGGGCCCTGGGCCAACCACGCCTGCTCCCCCGCTGCAGGGCCTTTAGCTCCTCTGGGGCTGGGGATGCCAGGGGACAGGGGACATTCGCCATCTCAGCCACAGGCAGGCGCCCACACCTTCTTTCCCAAGGCCGCCGCCTACAGGTGTTGAGAACCTCCACACGCACACACACGCACATGGGATGCACACAACACATGCAGGCACGCACACGTGTGTATACTAACACTGAGAACATGCAGGAAGCACATGAACACAGGCACAACGCACACACGTGCAGATGCACACCGGCAAGCACCCTGCATGCATGCACACACAATGAGCAAAAATGAGCACCCACACAAACCCACGGTGGCCTCCATGGCACGCACACGCACACATGAGCACACACGCTAGCACCCAACATGGGCAACATGCATCCACTCACATGCATAGGACACATCACACACGGACAGGCACAGACACATCCACGCAGCAGACAGTTCCCGCCTAGAGCTCGGCTTCTGAGGGGTGCGGTCCCCTGTGCCCGCCCTTCCCCGCCAAAGGGAAGTGTGCCCCCCGCGGGGCCCAG